TGGCAGAATCACTTATTGAGAGCAACCACAAATTGCGAGCAGGTAGTGGTACATCAATTGACTTGGGAAGATACCAGAGACTAGTTGGAAGACTCATTTATCACTCACATTTCAGATCTGATATAGCATATGCAGTTAGTCTTGTGAGCTAGTACATACATGATTCTCGTGAGACTCATTTACATGCTGTCTTCCGCATATTACGATACTTTAAGTCTGCACTACGAAAATGTCTGCTCTTTTTTAAGTATGGGCAACTTAAAATAGAAGCATTTACAGATGCCGATTGGGTTGGATCCCTAAATGATAAAAGATCAACTATAAGTTACTGCGCACTTGTTGGTCGCAACTTAGTCACATGGAAAAGTAAGAAACAAAGTATGGTTGCTCGCTCCAATACTGAGACAGAATATAAAGCAATGGCTCAAGAAGTATGTGAAATACTATGGTTGTAAAAACTAATGATGGAGTTAAAACTGCTTAAAGATGAGAAATTATCCCCGTTTTGTGACAATAAAGCAGCAATTAACATTGTTTATAATCCAGTTAAATATGACAGGACAAAATACATTGAGATTGATCGACACTTTCTACAAGAGAAGGTGGTTGGTGGCTCTCTATACTTATATTATGTATCTTCTGTCGAGCAAGTAGCTGACATTTTCACTAAGGGATTATGCAACAAATTTCTTCAGAACCTGATTTGCAAGTTGGGCATGTGTGATATCTTTGCGCCAACTTGAGGGGGAATGTTAATAAAAATTTCATATTAAATAGAATACTATATTATTTAAAGTTCTAATAATACAATTATATCCTATAATTAGAGTTCAAATAGAATAAGAATAACCAGTAATAAAAATTAGAAATTTATTTTTTTTCAAAAAACTTCAGTTATTTAAGTGCACAGTGGACAAAAGATATAGCAATGCCTCATATTATTCAATTTCTCAATCGTTGAGATTTCTTGTCACATTTACAATCCACTCTTTGATTCCATTCCCTTCTTTATGGACTTCCTCAACAATATTTTTAGATTGTGCAATGGAAAAAATCTTCAGGAATTAACTTTTGAGACTTCCCCTTCCAAAACCTAATCATCTACTCAGAATAAGATTTTATTCCCCTTGCCTAACTTCCATTTGGTGCATTGTTGGAATTTTTGTTTTTCTGTGCTTATCTTCCTCCATAACCCCATCCCATGCAATCTAACCACCTCTCTAGTGATCCCTCCACCATCAACAATCCCTCAACAAGCTTCAATAACTCACTTCCACAACCTTTAATCTTTCCTCATATACCTCCATAGCCATTTTTGCTTGTAGGGCAATATTCATTTCAACAGAGAATCTTAGCTTAATCCCTCTGCTTCATAGACAACTTCTCTTCCCACTTCACGAGATGATATCTCATTCTCTCCTCTCTGTTCCCCGCAAAGAAAACGACATTGCATGGTTTCCAACTTTTATGCTACCTTTGCAGGTATTTTCAAAGCAGACAAATAATAAATAGGAAGGTTAGTAAGTGTACTTTTTATGAGTGTGAAACTTCCACTCTTAAACAAGAAATTCCTCTTTTACCCATTAATCTTCTCTTAAACAATTCTATCACTGGTTCCCTAGTTCTCACATCTTTATATTTGGATCCCAACAGAAGGACAAGATACTTGATGGGTAGTTTTACTAATTTACAACCCAATAACCTCATCCCATGTAGTCTAACCACCTCTCTAGTGATCCCTCCACCATTAACAATCCCTCAACGAGCTTCAATAACTCACTTCCTCAACCTCTAATCTTTCCTTATATACCTCCATAGTCATTTTTGCTTGTAGGGCAATATTCATTTCAACAGAGAATCTTAGCCCCAATCCCTCCTACTTCATAGACAACTTCTTCTCTTCCCACTTCACAAGATAATATCTCATTCTCCCCTCTCTGTTCCCCGCAAAGAAAATGACATTGCATGGTTTCCAACTTTTATGCTACCTTTGCAGGCACTGTCAAAGCAGACAAATAATAAATAGGAAGGTTAGTAAGTATGATTTTTATGAGTGTTAAATTACCACCCTTAAACAAGAAGTTCCTCTTCCACCCGTTAGTCTTCTCTCAAACAACTCTATCACTGCTTCTCAAGTTCTCACGTCTTTATATTTGGATCCCCGGAAGGACAAGATACTTGATGGGTAGTTTTACTGATTTACATCCCAATACCCTTGCTAAGTTATCCTCATCCCTCCTATCTCCTATTCTCGCTATTTTTGAATTATTCAAATTAATATTCAATGCAGAAACAATTTGGAAGCACAAGAGAAGACACCTAAGGTTTAAAATCACCCTTTCCTCAAATTGACAAAAAATCAAAGTGTCATCAACAAAGAAAAAATGAGAAATCTCCACCTGTTGATTACCTCTACACACCTCCACTCCCCTCAACAACTCCAACTCCATTACTTTGTCAAACAACCTACTTAGCGCTTCCATAACAATAATAAACAAAAAGAGGGATAGTGGATCTCCCTATCTTAGACTTTTAGACGCTTAGAAGAGAAGACTATTCTCCATCAACCACAATTACAAAAGATAAGATGGTAATGCACAAATTCATCTACCTCTTTCACTTTTGCTTGAATGCCAACCTACCTAGCATTTAATTCACAAACTCCCAATTAATACATACGACTTTTCCATATTTAACTTGCAAAGCATCCCCTCCCTCCTGTTACCCACCAAATCGTCCACCACTTCATTCGCAACTATGACAACATCCAAAATTTGCTGTCCCTCGACAAATACATGCTGGCTTTCCCCAATTACTTCTCTTAACACCTTGGACGAACACGTAGTTAGAACTTTAGAAATAAGTTTGTAGATGCACTGCACCAAACTAATTAGTCCGAAATCTTTGATTTTTTTGACCTTTCCGCCTCGACAATAAACACTAGAAAAGTTGAGTTTAATGACTTCTCGAAGACCCTGATTCATGTAACTCACTAAAGACATTCGTTTGGGGTTGAAATTGGCCATGACCAATCAGTAAAAGAGAGGTTTAGGTTTGGAAGGGTATTCATGGGGATAAGAGTTAAACAAGATTCTCGGTCTTATCCGTTTGACTACCCTTTGAGTCATGTGAAAAAAAAGGAGTAAAAGAGCTTCTGAGAGTATAGAATGGTCTTTTGATAGGTTGAAAGATTCTTAATTTCATACTCTAGCTTTGTTGATTAGGGGTCATCCTCTCTGTTCTTGTGAGGATTTGGGAGACTTGATTAACGTGATAGTAGAATTATAAAGCTTTAATATATGGTTTGTGCTCTTTTCGTGCTTTAATACCATGCCATATATTTCAAGAAAAAGATAGAATAGACACCATGTGGTTACACTTATTCAAGTGCTTGAGCAGATCGCATGACTCCGCATAGATTTGGCCAGTTGTGAGTTGGTCGGATTCAGTGTGGCAAACAATGTTGTGAAAGAATTGGCAGAGATAATAGCATGCACTAGATTATCATGACCAAGTACTTACCTAGGTGATACTAGAAGCATGTATTTTCAAGACACACTGGTATAAAATGTACAGAAGGTCTGGGGTGTTGGAAATGGGCTTGTTCTCTCTTTGGGTTAGAATCAATTTAATTCTGAGTTGTCTGTCTAAGATCCTGCTCTTTCATCTATTCTGGTTCAGAATACTTGTATGGGTTGCTGAGAGAGTGGGGGATAACATGAGAGAGTTTTGTGGTATGGGGTAAGGGAGGATCAGAGGGATCATTTGGTAAATTAGAAAGTGTGTTGCCACTCCAGAAAGAATTGATGCTTGAGCATTGGGAATCTAGTATCTAAGGATTTATCTCTATTGACTAAATGACTTCAGCATTTTCTGCAAGAAACTAGTTTTCTTTGGCAGAAGGTGATCAAAAGTAGTCCACAGGAATGCATGAGATGCTATAGGAAGTGACCCTATTACACAAATGGAAGAATTCCTTCTTCAAGCTAACTTTTTCTTTCTAGCTTTTTTATTTTTGTTTTTTTCTGCTAAAAATAAGTATCCACAAAGCAACAAGTGTTCCTCCATTTTGTAATAGTTTAATTATACAATTAATTACAAGAAAGAAAATTTAAAAATTCTAGAAGTTTCCTTTTAGAGAGACTTTGACCTGTAAACCATACATATTGGATCTGAATTCTCGTCGCTTCTAAACTAGAGAGAAGAGGTTTTCTTTCCTTCAAAAAGTCACTTGCGTTGCTAGCTAAATGGACAAATGTGCTCTAGGTATATCAAAAGCTTATGCATGAATTTAGTTGAGATGCATTAGACAATATTTTCATGCTTGAAAGACATGTTTGAGATTCAAAGTTCTGCTGGTTTAGCTATTATGAGAACGATGTCCCAATTTTTAGTGATATTTTGATATGATCATTGTTAACCAATTTTAAGAATCTTGTTTCCATTTATCGCTAGAATTTGTGCAAACATGCAGTAATTAGGTTCTTCCTTTTTATCTTTTTTAAAGCATATATTTGTTAGTTTTTCTTCATATTATTATAGTTTCCTCTTCCTCATGGGTCAGATCTTGCATGTTTTTGCAGCCCGGGAGAAGGCGATGGTTGTTAATTTAGAGTTTATAAAGGCTATAGTCACTGCTGAAGAGGTCCTATTGTTGGATCCTCTTCGCCAGGAGGTTCTCCCGTTTGTGGATCAACTAAGGCAACAACTTCCTCATAAAGGCGCATTTAAGATTCATGGAACTGGTCCTCCAGATGTGCATGATAGTGAAATGCATGTTTCACCAGGTGGACAATGGCTACCTGTTCCAGAAGTTGTTGAGGGTTTACAATGTGAGCTTCCGTTTGAGTTTCAGGTTTTGGAGATCGCATTAGAGGTTGTCTGTACGTATTTGGACACCAATGTGGCAGACCTTGAAAGAGATGCTTACCCTGTATTGGATGAACTGGCTAGGAATGTCAGCACCAAGAATCTTGAACATGTTCGAAGTTTGAAAAGCAACCTTACACGTTTGCTTGCACGGGTACAAAAGGTATTTCTTATGCATGCTGTTTCTTAACATCTTACGATTACCCAATAATGTGCAGTAATGCCTTGGTGTAATTGCAAGTACTTTTCCTGCCCTATCATTGCTTTGGTGGGCGCTTGGCTTTGCATTGGTTCTTGAAAATGAGTTTGAATTACTTTCAGGAGAACAATGTGCTGCATGATTACTATCATTTTGCTTTGTAGTGTTTGAGTTTGATATCATGCTTGAGGATGAAAGAGAGTGGCAATTTGGGATAAACAGCACTCCTTTGCTGCCTTGTGTTAGACACTACTATTTTTTTAATCTTAGAAAGAAGTTCTTAGTGGATTCACTTTTTGAGTTTGGAAAAAAATAAACTCGGTATTGTACGCACCTAAGACAGTTACATTTCTCCAATGCTCGAACATAGATGTTAATCGTAGGCCAGATTTTACACTATTTTGAACTTGGTGAAATGCATTTCAAGCACATGATCATTGACTGTGTAGAACTCGAGCATAGATGTTAATTGTAGGCCAGATTTTACATTATTTTGAACTTGGTGAAATGCATTTCAAGCACATGATCATTGACTGTGTAGAATTTTTGGCTCATATTCAGTATTTAATCTTCACAAATAGATCTTGATAAAGGAAAGGAATTATTCTTGTAATTTTGAGTTCTCTCCTTAATCCTCTATAAAGGAAAAACTCTACTTAAGATTAAAATTTTGAAGGTAGTTCGACTTCTATACTTCTATTTTACAAAAAAAAGGTTTGAAGGTAGTTCTGGAGAGAGGGCACACTCTTCAGCCATGTTTAATCTTGATGTTCTTAGCACAAATGTTATTTCACTACAAGACAGTAAGTGAATACCTGTTCTGCTTCAATATGTTGTTTTTTCTATTTTTCTTTAAGGTTTGAGTTTTTTATTTAAAGGTGTTTTTTAGTATTTGAATGACTGCAATGCTTCAAAGTTTCGAAGTTAGTAGTTAACAGTTCCAATCACATATAATATAGGCACCTGCTCTCCCTTTCTCTCTCATTTTTTTACGGGACTTTGATGTAAAACAAGAAGATTATAATTTGGAATAAATCTTTTATTAAAAATACTTCTGCAATTATTATTTTTTAATTCATTTAGGTTATTTAGGTCTATTTTAGGCATTATAAAATTTTAGTTTTCTTTTCATGCAGATCTTTTAAGTATCATAGACATTAAAATCTTTAATTCAATAATTTTCTTTATTAGTTATGATTAATGACTATACCAAGGTAGTAGCTACCACAAAAAAGAAATGAATTAAGAATTTCTTTGTTAGGGTTTTATTCTTTGTTCTCTTTGTTTGTTGATTCTTCTAATTATTGTTCTGCATAACCTTATCTCGTTTGCTCTATTTCTCCCAATATTTTTTCACCTTGATCTCTAATTTCCTCTGGCCTATTTTTATTCCTCTGATTTTCTCCTAACTTTTCTCTATTTCTAAACTGACCAGGAGATAAGTTAGTTTAACCAATAGTCATCTTGCATCAGATATTATTAAATGTTCTTACATGACGCTAGCGGCATGAGAT